AGAGAGACGAAAGAGATAGAGACCAGAGAGAGAGAGAGAGACCATAGAGAGAGAGACCAGAGAGACTGGAGGTATAAGTAACGTTTAAACCACATGTAATAAAACCCATGTCCCTCGCTCTCAAAACAGCTTCGTTCACTAGTTTTGTCAAGTATTTTTGAACTGTCATATCTTCAGATCAGCATGTTGTGGCCTTATGTGTTCACAGTTTACTTCTATAAGACTTTTTTGGAGAAACTTGTTATTTATAAAAGAATAAGTTGGTGCCTAGATTATCGCTGCTGCTGCTGCTGCTACTGGGAGATTCTAATCCTGCATTCGTCTCCCGTAGGTTAGACTAGCCTAGACTTCTGGGAGCACAGGGACTAGCCTTCTGGGACTCTGAGGACCACAGGGACTGAAGTCCTGTTGGGGCTCTGAGTAGCAAAGGGCCCCACAGGGTCTCTTCTTTTCAAATGGACATACTGCAATGATATGTTATTAATTGTTTTGAGATTGTAATATTTACTTCTTGTTTAAACCACTGATTTGCCCTGTGCATGATTTGCACTATACAAATAAACTTGCCTTGCCTCCTTCAATATCAACACAAAGTATTCCTTTCCCTCAGCTGTGCCAACACGCTCCAGACCTTGAACTCGTCCCAAAAACCTCCAAATAAAAGCAGAGATAAATAAACAGCAAAGGTGTTTGTGAGAGAAGCCCAGATGTCCCACGATGCTCTTTGAACGCACCAGGAGCAGGACCACAACAAAAGACCAGGACGAGGCCGGATTTGAAGACTCTGAGTTTATACAGGTTTGGTTCAGAGCCAAGATGCAAACCAGGACTAAGTCCTTATCAGTCTCATGTTTGAGGGTTTTTGAAAAAATCATGTGGAAGTTTTTTTTATTTTTTTTATTGTACTTCCATTCAATTTGCATGTGTATGACCTTAAACCAGAGAGTGAGATCAGAGAGAGGTCAGAGAGAGACCAGAAAGAGAGATCAGAAAGTGAGACCAGAGAGAGACCAGAGAGACGGACCAGAAAAAGAGGAGAGAGAGATCAGATAGAAACCTGAGCTAGGGCTAGTCATTCATGAGCGCTTCCCTATTGGGCTTCATAGAGCAAGAGGGTTAGCTCCAGTGTTTGTGGTTTGAAAGTTGAGTGTTTTTTGTCTGAACTAAAAGGCTATTTGTGTGGGTCCATAGAGAGCGGGATATGGAGGACCAAAACTGTCCAAATAATAAAGAAAAAACAATCTCCAAATATTTATCAAGATTTTATAAATATAGTGCCTTGGGAAGGTATTCGGCCCCCTTGAACCTTTCAATATTTCGCCACATTTCAGGCTTCAAACATGAAGATATAAAATTTTCATTTTTTTCATGAATCAACAACAAGTGGGACACAATCGTGAAGTAGAACGAAATTTTTTGGATAATTTAAACTTCTTTATCAAATAAAAAACTGAAAAGTGGGGCATGCATTATTACATTCAGTGCAGCAAACTCAGTCCAGAAGTTCAGTGAGGATCTTTGAATGATCCAGTGTTGTCCTAAATGACTGATGATGATAAATAGAATGCACCTGTGTGTAATCAAGTCTCCGTATAAATGCACCTGCTCTTTGATAGTCTCAGGGTTCTGTTTAAAGCGCAGAGAAAACCATGAAGACAAAGGAACACACCAGGCAGGTCCGAGATACTGTTGTGGAGAAGTTTAAAGCCGGATTTGGATAAAAAAAGATTTCCCAAGCTTTAAACATCTCAAGGAGCACTGTGCAAGCAATTATATTGAAATGGAAGGAGTATCAGACCACTGCAAATCTACCAAGACCCGGCGTCCCTCCAAACTTTCATCTCTGATCAGAGATGCAGTCAAGAGGCCCATGATCACTCTGGATGAACTGCAGATAACTACAGCTGAGGTGGGAGAGTCTGTCCATAGGACAACAATCAGTCGTGCACTGCACAAATCTGGCCTTTATGGAAGAGTGGCAAGAAGAATCGAACTTTTTGGCCACAATGCAAAACGATATGTTTGGCGTAAAAGCAACACAGCTCATCACCCTGAACACACCATCCCCACTGTCAAACGTGGTGGTGGCAGCATCATGGTTTGGGCCTGCTTTTCTTCAGCAGAGACAGGGAAGATGGCTAAAATTGATGGGAAGATGGATGGAGCCAAATACAGGACCATTCTGGAAGAAAAACCCGTTGGAGTCTGCAAAAGACCTGAGACTGGGACGGATATTTATCTTCCAACAGGACAATGATCCAGAATATAAAGCCAAATCTACAATGGAATGGTTCACAAATAGACGTATCCAGGTGTTAGAATGGCCAAGTCAAAGTCCAGACCTGAATCCAATCGAGAATCTGTGGAAAGAGATGAAGACTGCTGTTCAAAAACGCTCTCCATCCAACCTCACTGAGCTCGAGCTGTTTTGCAAGGAAGAATGGGCAAGAATTCCAGTCTCTCGATGTGCAAAACTGATAGAGACATACCCCAAGCGACTTGCAGCTGTAATTGCAGCAAAAGGTGGCACTACAAAGTATTAGCGCAAGGGGGCCGAATAATATTGCACTTTATTGTTAAAAAAGTTTAAATTATCCAATAAATTTCGTTCCCCTTCACGATTGTGTCCCACTTGTTGTTGATTCTTGACAAAAAATTTAATTTTTATATCTTTATGTTTGAAGCCTGAAATGTGGCGAAATGTTGAATGGTTTAAGGGGGCCGAATACTTTCGCAAGGCACTAACTATGTTATTATTATTATACAACATTTTTTAATTCAAAACTAAATGATAAGGCTTTATTATTTTTTGTCTGTATATATTTATTTTCTTGTTCATTCAAAGTTTTGACATTTTAGATAAATATTGTATAATTATTTAAATCTTAATCTTTGAATGAACAAGTAAATTTAAAATATCAATTCAATTCAATGTATGCTTGTATTGACCGAAATCACAACAGTAGTTATCTCAGAGGACTCAACAAAACCGTTGAAATTGCCAATACAGATCATAGACAGAGTTCAAACACAAAAATTATAGAACACATAGGTATTGGTCCATTGGAAGAGACCAATGTCCATGAATGTTAATAAATGTCCATACATGTTGTAGAATGTTAGAGTGTCCTCACCACATCACCACAGTCCTTCTTGTTAGACACACTAACGGTCAAACAGACTCCTGCATCGACAAGGAAAAACTGTAAAACCCAGTGGGGGAAAAGTGAGAAACTCTCTACATTGAGAGAGGGATCCGCTCCAAACGGACGGACGGGCTGTAGCTCCAGGACCTAAGCTACAGAACGAGGACCAAGGCCACGCAGCAGTTGTAGAACGAGGACAGGAGCGCTGCAGGACTGAAGCAACTTTCCTCTCCCTCTGACGCAGGTGCAGAAAAATGCTGAGAGAAAAGAACAAAGCTTTATTATTATTTTTTGAATCAAAACGTTGTATATTAATACAAAATAATAATAATAGTACATATTTATTCAGTCGCGTGATTTGGTAGCGTTTTTTAATACATATTTGCAGATTGTGACATTTATTAATATACTATTTTGACAGTTTTGGTCCTGTATAGAGGGATAACCATTGTCCAGAAATAATAATAATAATGCATCGGTTTTATATAGCGCTTTTTTGGACACTCAAAGACGCTTCACATGTGTCATAATTCATTCACTCCATACACGGTGGTGATAAGCTACTACTGTAGCCACAGCTGCCCTGGGGCACACTGACAGAAGCGAGGCAACCAGTATGTGCCATCGGCCCCTCCGACCACCACCAACCATTCACACACACACCAGACTCATTCTAGGCAATGGGGGTGAAGTGTCTTGCCTAAGGACACAACAGCAGTTTGGCACTTTACAGCCGCAGCCGCCCCACTGTGGCTGGTGTTCCCAGAGGTTAAGTGTCTTGCCAAGGACACAACGACAGTAGTCAGTGGGAGTCGATGGTGAAAGTCTTGAGCGGGGCTTGAACCCACGACCTTCTGGCTCAAAGGCCAACGCTCTACCAACTGAGCTACTGCCGCCTCGAAATGTTAGTAAATGTCCTGGATCATCACTGTCCTTAGCCTTCCTGCATCAGTAAGAAGCAAGAACACAATTTTTTTTTTTGAGAAAGCTGGGTGAGAGACCAAAGAGGGACCAGAGAGGGACCAGAGAGACACCAGAGAGAGACAAGAGAGAGGGACCAGAGAGAGGGACCAGAGAAAAACCTGAGCTAGGGTGAGTTGGAGCTAACCTTCACCATGAGCACTTCTCTATTGGGATTAATTGAGTTAGCATTAGTCTTGTCCATCTGTATACAGTGTATGTTTATCCCACAATAATCATGATTATTATTGACGCATTGCTTCAAATCAACAACGCCTCGACAGCTCGCAAACTGCTCTGACAGCTGACGGCGGCAAAACCACACAAACATCTATTTTGAAGTACTTTGAAGAAGTACTTTGAAGTACTTTGAAGTATTTTGAAGTAATTTCCCTTTGTGGATGGTGACAGGCTGACACTGGGGAGGTGTGATTGGCACATGTTGACGCCGTTATTTTGGGCATGGGCTCAAAGTTCGACATCATAATTTGGTTTGATGATTTTAAAAAGCGTTTGTGACTAAATATAATTGCAGCCGCAGGATTGAAGTTAATCAGGCTGGGATTGTTTTATCGACAAAAAAACAAGATAAACAGAAAGACCAAGAGATATAACTGGTAAGGAATGAATGCACCATGCTACTACTACTACTACGGCTGCAGCTACTACTACTACTAATACTACTACTGCAACTGCTGCTGCAGCTACAAGGCAAGGCAAGTTTATTTGTATAGCACAGTTCATACACAAGGCAATTCAAACACAACTACGACTATTGCGGCGACTCAGCCAATCAGCACTCAGCCCAAAGAGTCCGATAGTGACTCACAGGGCTGTTTCTGCTGGGACTTGAATTGTTTTTTCTAGCATGTTGCAGATATACTTCTCTCATTGATGCCTCAGCGACTGGAGCATAAACACTCACCTTTCCCTGAACTGGGGGCAGATGGATGGGGCCGCAGGGGGGTAGAAGGAGGTGAGGGAGGGGGGAGGCTGCTGGACTCTCTCCCCCCTCGCTGCTCTCCCGTCTGTGGGGTCAAAGAGGTGCTCATAAACGCTGCCACTTCACACAGAGAACAGGTGTCTCTCTGCTGGACCTCTATCACACACAAAAACAAACTCAGAAAGGGCCGAAGTCAGGGAGACGGAATGGAGTGGAGAGAAAACGGCAGACACGGAACATGCAAAATCTAGGATGATGGAAGCAGCATGAGGTGTGACCAGAGAGAGAGACCAGAGAGAAAGACTAGAGAACCCAGAAAGAGAGCTGAGAGAGACTGGATGAGATCAAGAGAGAGAGACCAGAGAGAGACCAAAGAGAAAGTCCAGTATTAGGGCGAGCAATACCTACACAGACACAAGGGTGGAGTTTGCATGTTCTCCCCATTCCTGCGTAGGTGTCCTCCGGGTACTCCGGTTTCCCCTACCACTAAAAACATGCACACTTGGTTAAATCCTCCAGCTCTGGTAGTCCTGACCAAGCCGAGCCTCAATATATCGAGATGGGTTCCCGAGCGCTGTACTACGGCGACCACTGCTCCTTAGCGCCATCAGGATGGGTCAAATGCGGAGGATGAATGGCCCTACGGGTATCAATAAAGTACACCTTTACCCTTTCACCTGCTCCCACTGATTTCTGCTTTCGTTGTGTACCTGGGCGAGACACTCAACCTCACTTTGCCTATAGTCCCCACTGAAAGATCAAGGCCATATCTGCGTTGAAGAAGCAGCCATCTTCCTGTGGACCCACCACCTGCAGGAGGATCAGCGAGAGACTGGTGCTTTGTGAATTGGGTGGCAGCCCAATTCACCCCCTGACCCAGAAAATGGATAATAAAAGGGATGAAAATGAATGAATGAATGAATTAGTTCATTCAAAAGGCAACTCAAAGTGCTTCTTAGAGCAATAAAACATTTTTTTAAGTCCAAAATGGTGAGTGTGAAACAATCGGTTACTGAGCTGGAGAAGTTTACTTTTACATGTCAGTCAATAGAAGACAGCGAGTTGGTGCAAAACATTGTCCATGAGCACTTACCTATTGGGCTTCATTAAGCTAGCAGGTTAACATTGTCCATCGGTTTACATGTGCATGTGTAGGTATCAAGCTAACAGGCACACGTCTGAAATCAGTGCGTTGTGTAAAGGACGTAATTTATGTTTATTTGAAATCAATTATGAACTCTTACCAGCCCTGTTACATAATCTTCTTCACATCAAACACGCCTCTGCAAACGGTCGCAAGGTGGGTTATACATGTATGCCGAGTCATTCTGACACAACCCAGGTTTTTGCTCAGTGTGAATGAACTTTATGAAACAAACAGAGAGTGTGGTCCCTCACTGGTCTATCTCTGGTCCCTCTCTGGTCTCTCTCTGGTCTCTCTCTGGTTGGCTAAACCCCTCCTGTCCTCTCCCTCTGACCCAGTTTGAAGCAGGTTCTCCTGGCTACAGTCTCGTTCAAGGCCTCTGTGCCTGAACCTCCGGGAGCTGTTTCCGAGGGTCTGCGGCTTCGGGTTGGACGCAGTTGAAAGAGCTGGTGGTCTCCAGATGGGACCATGAAGGAGGAGGGGAGGGGGGGAGGGGAGGCTTTCACTCATCCAACCCACACTGTAGTTCCACAACCAGCGGTGAATGCGCAAACATGGCTTTTTCATGGCCAGAAATAGTTATGTGGTTTCCTCCGCCTATTCTGAGTCAGTACAGTTTCTGAGCATAAATCAAAAGTGTAAGATTATCAGCTGCAGTATATTCAAAACTCCAAAGCTCAAGTCCTGACTAGAACCAGAAAGTAATTAAAAAAAAATCACATTAGTCCTGGTCTCAGGTCTCTGCACTGGCCTCTTGTGGCTCAGAGCTGCTTTAAAGCAGCTCTGCTTGTGTCCAAGTAGAGACTCGGACATGGCCTCGTACCAAAGTACATCTGAGACATGTTAATGCCATATGAACCAACTGCACAGGGACTGGCCTCCTGCTGTGACTCTGAGAAGCACAGGGACTGGCCTCCTGCTGGGACTCTGAGGAGCACAGGGACTGGCCTCCTGCTGGGACTCTGAGGAGCACAGGGGCTGGTCTCCTGCTGGGACTCTGAGGAGCACAGGGACTGGCCTCCTGCTGGTGCCCAGAGTAAGGACTAAACATGGGGAGCCAGCTCTTCAGAATAATGCACCAGAAATCTAGAAAAGTCTTCCTGAAAATGTGAGACAGAGCTAGACAGATTCTAATCTGATCATGTTCAAATCCAGGTTAAGAGCTCTCTTTGCTTTTCTTATGTCATGGTTGGATATTGATGGTATGATTCTAAGTGAGAATTTGCTCTTTTCTTGAAAAACTCATCAGCAAATCTTGCATTAAGACCTTTGCTACTTCCCCTGTGCCCCAGAGCAACACACTCCACCCCCGGCTATAAGCTGCATTTAGCCTGTTTGAAATGCGATCCATGTCTTAAATCCTGGGATGATGGATTGTCTGGGTCCAGGTCCAGATGTGGTCCGGGTTTCCTCAAACAGGAGTCCTACATAAAGCACAGCACTTATTGGAAAACTTCTCCCTCAGACTTTGATGTAATCTACTCCTGGAGCCAGTTACAGTATAATGGGGGACTTCAAACAGACGGCCTCCACGGGTTACCATGATCAAGAGACGCAAGTTACATGTCAAAATGTATGTTTACAATTCTGAAATGCAAATAATTGTTGAAAAAGGAGGACTAAATTTACAATTACTCTTTAAAATTACAGAAAAGGTTGGATGCTTGATACTTGTTACTAGAAAACAACAAGAACTATTTTTAGGGGCCAATTTAGACTTATGGGAAATCTCAGTTTTTAATTGACCATTTTTACAATATTTTTTCCATAATCATCATCATGCATCCCCATTGAACCATGTATATACAGTAGATGGACAATGCTAACCCACTAGCTCAAAGCTGACCAATAGGGAAGTGGACCAGGTTTTTTTCCTCCAACTTGCTCTGGCGATTGAGATTACATGTCAGAGTAAATCATCTAGTTTAGTAACGTTTGTGTCACACTCACCATTTTGGGGTAAATAATCTGTGGTTTAGAACCTGTCTGTGTTCTTGGTGTTTATATTGTGATATTGTCTTTGTAAATCTAGATATGAGCCTTATAAGCAATGACCAATCAGAGGCCTTCCCTTGCAGGGGAAACTATAGCTTGCCTTGACAACCATCTTAGCAACACGTCTCCCTCTGTTACAGCATGAAGCGAATGCTGTTGGAATAAGGATATTATCTGAAACAAACATTAGTCAGTCCAGTCATATTAAGCCAGATTTTCTCAAAAACTCAAAGTAATTATACTTTTTAAACTGAGAAAACTAGATTCCTCCTGCAGATATACACATCCGCCATCTCTAATCTAATTTAGTCCTTGATCATAGTTTTGTGTGTGATTTCTGCGCTCCGGTCGCTCCTAACGGTTCCATATGTTTCCACTGGGGACAGCTACTTCCTCCGATGCTAATTGCTTTGCTAAATCACGGTCTGCTGTGCGCTAACGTGCTAACGCCTTGTGCTGTAACAGGCCTCGTACCTGAGCACGCTCCATTTACGCTGCATAAGTGGTGTCGGCAAAACGATTTTACTGTTAGAGAGAATGAGAGAGAGGTGAGGTAACTATAGACTGTGTAGAGGACAATGCTAACCCTTTAACTCAATGAAGCCAAATAAGGATGTGCTCATGGACAAAGTTTGGCTCCACTCTGGCTCCTATTGACTTACATTTAACAAATGCTCATACAAGGAAATTGGCTCCAATTATCTTACATTCAAACCAAGCCCGGTGATCCAAGATAGCACCCTAATCAAATGAATGGCTTGCACTCAGTAGCGCGACGGACATACACAGGGACCGAGAGATTCGTGGAAGTTGCCCATATTTGGGCGTCGTCTGGTCCTACCGGTTCTGCGCAGTGGACGCGTGTGTGGCTCTCATGCACGTGCACAGAGGGGCTCTGCGCTTTGACCAATCTGATGAGCAGCGATAGAGCGGAGCCAGAGAGGGAAGGAAACAAGCAGATTTTGTGGCAGTAAAGTGCGGATTTAAAGAAAACTGAAGGATTTAAGAAGAAAAAAAGTTCAGGATGACAATGGACACTAAAATCTCCACAAAATACGACCTTTATGAAAGCTGAAGGTTCTCTGTCGGCTGAGGTCGAGCTGTTTCAGTTTACATTGAGTGACACGATACTTTTTTCTGGGAAGCCCGCATGAATTTAGTCTGCAGTACCACGGGCTACTAATACCCTATCCCAGTGGTTCTCAAACTTTTTACACCAAGTACCCCCTCAGAAAATACTTGCTTTTCCAAGTACCACCACAAATGACCAACACCACACAGTAGCGTAATCATTTTTCAAGATAGAGATTCTATACTTATTATTGATGCTAGCGTACTTATTGTTTTTATTTTGATTAGTATAGCTTTTGTTCACTTAACGTGTGCCGTGTGCTCCTCTTTCCTACTGTTCTATAACCTGTGATGCAACAAGGATCTCTTAATCTTAATCTAAGCCTAAATATTCATCAAAAACAAGGCAGAGGTTTCATTCCTAAAGAGGCTTTTGTATTTGCTGCTCCTTCTACATGGAACGTGTTGCAAAAAGACTGGAAATGATCTGACTGTATTTCATTGAATGCTTTCAGACCCAGATTGAAAGCACTTGAGACATCTTCAGTGAAATGTAACTGTTTTTATAATCAGTAATTTTATGAAATTGTATATGACTGTTTTATAATCTGTATGTAACTATTTTATAATCTGTAATTGTATGTAATTTTTGTACAGGACTCCCTTGAAAAAGAGGTTCTCATTGCCTGCCAGCCATTTTTGATGACTTCACTGATTTTTAAGACTCACAGAATATTGTGTGCAAGACAGTCTGAAAGACAGGACTGTCTACTTTCAGAAGCAAAAAGAAGTTTGTTTTTAGCTTGTTTCGTTCTCCTGCGATCTCCAGTCGAAAGAGGGGAGTGTGACAAAAAGCACCAGTCTTGGACAAAAATCTGAGAAAATGAGATGACGAACCTGCAGAAAAGGGACTGTAACACTTTTTAGTTTAACTTTAGCATCTCCTCAAACATGTCCAGGATCTTACATGTTAGAAAACAGTAAATACAAGTTATGAGAAAGTGTTTTTGATGCAAAATAATATGTTTTATGGCACACACA